TATTGTAATTCACAACTGATATTAGTAAATTAATAAGTAAAATTAATAATTTAAAACTGATACTGCTACTTGTAATTGAAAAAATGATGTCAAGTTTGGTATAATTATGACATGTTAATTCATGTAATTTACAATATATGTTAGTAAATTACAAGTAAAGTAAAAAAAATTAATAACTAATAATTCTATATAACAAGTAAAGGATACTTTGATTCTCTAACCATTAAAATTATTTTCAATTTATTTCCCTAGATGACTGAAGTTTAGATTTTTTTTTTTTGTGGATCTACTAGTAATTAAGTCCCATCGTGGTCCTTAATTAAAATTCTTCAACAATATATATATATATGATCAAGTCAAAGTCAATGAGTTTGCGTTCTAGAGAAAGTGAACATTGTCTTGGTTCACTCTCTGCATTCAAAGCATTCAAGTTCACATTCAAAATTCACGTTAAAAAAGTGAGGCGTATTCTATCTGTCCATCACGTTGCACACACACAAGATTTGTTCGGTGTAAGAGAAAGTTGGGCACAATTAAGGATCAGTAGAAGGGGAAAAAAAAGGAGGGGGCAATAGATCAGAGAAACAATAAAAGAAATGGATCCATCAATGCCTTCCCTATTCTGTTGATCACCAACTAATGAGACATACCAAGAGAAGTGCATGAATCATTATATTATCACGAATAATAGAAAGAGACAGTGAGGGTTGAAATTGAAAGACACCAAACTATTAGGATTCACGCCTTCTAGAGAAGGCTGCCAACCAAGCAGCAGAATTTCCTGCTCATTTGACATGTGAGAAGGACATAAAATGTTTCGACTCAGTGATGGCAAATATAGCTGTTCAAGCATCCCGCGATACATCCAGTTGCAAAGGAGTTGCATCAAGTGAAATAACAGTTCGATAGAGCTCCATTCAGTCTAACTCGATAGTCTATGCTGATCATTGAAATCTGAATGTCCTTGTAAAGAGCTAAAATTTCAGCCATGAATTAGCTTGAATTGGCAGTCATTGTCTCCCTCCATCCTTTAATGAAACATCCCTCGTTTATGAACAATACCAATGAAAGCTTTACCAAAGACAAGGGAATAGGCATCACAAATAAAGAAAATTGCAGACCATGGCTGAAGCTAGACGACGACTATTGAAGAAACGTGAAGAGTGTTGAAGAATCGAAGGCGTGAAGAAAACTGAAGATCATTGAAGATTTATGGATAATTTTTGAAAAGTAGTGCAAAAAATGGAACGGCATTCTGGTATTTTGGGGCTTATGGCCAAATATTTCCGCCTTTTGGTCACCTAAGAGGTTGAATTCGGTATTCTTATAATTTTTACAATTTTTTTTTCCAACCAGAAACAAAGATTGAATCAAAACATAACTTGACACAGAGTGTTTAAAATATACGAAGTTAAAAGCTTTATGTAAAAGATTTATCTTGATTTAGTTTAATCACCTAACCTACATCTAGTCTTCAAGATTACATTTAATATTTTTCACTAAAATTACAAGTTTCAGTAGGTGTTTGCTACCTCAATATAACCACAAGCCTACACCAGTCTTAATTTTTTTTAAAATAGCCACTTACAAGCTTCAATGAATACTTGCTACCTTAGTTCAGAACCTTAATTAAAACTGACATATTGAAACTCACATGAATCACCACTAGCTAACTCATGTTCTAAGTACTTAGAACCAAATTCCTATCAGGAACTCCAAAACTTGTGTTGGCACAAACCAGGCCATGGCGAGTTTGAGTATCACAGAGACTCCTTTGTCTCTGGAGCTCTAAAACTTGTGTGTGCCATACTGGGTGCTTGTGTGTTTGAGCATCACAAAACCAAAGGTTGTTCTTGAACTATAAAACTCATGTGGGAACACCAGGGCACTTATGAATTTGAGATGCAACATTCAAAGAACAACCCAAAGCATGTACTGAAACATGTGTGAGTTAGACTGGACCAACACAAGGATTAGCTTAAGAACATGAAACGCACAAAGATTTTTCTAAATTTAAAGTCCATGAGTATGTGTTGTAAGCCCAAAACTTGTCTCTCAAAAATAATTTACCCTGGAATACAAATGCAAGCATTCATGTTTCAAGGTTTTTAATAACTGAACTAAGAGAATGATAAAAATAAACTAATCTTCTTTTGTTCACACTCTTTTGCTCTCTTAGGTTGGTTTTGTCATAAATAATATTATAATATGTACAAACAAAGTCTAGACTGCTCATACTGAAAATACCCCAAAAATTCACATTAATTAATCCATGAATAGAAAAATCATCACTTAAACTTCTTATTTAACTCTAAAATCAATTTCTAATGAGCTCCAAAATCAATTTCTAATAAGTGTTTCCAAGTTACCCACAATCATGTACCAAAGTTCCAAGTGCTGATTCAAAATCCATTTTTTACACTCGGGGAGGGCTAAATCTAAGAACACCTAGATGCAAAAATTCATCCTTATTTAACAAACTAAACTGATTAAATTTAAGTACTCGCTTACCTTAATAATCTTGTGGCTCCTGATAGGTAAAACTCCATGCTTGATCTAAGTCCTCCTGCATAAACTTGCTCTACTCCCCTCAATATTCATGTCGTTAGGAAGCTCTCATCACATGGAATAACTCTTATGAAGGGAGTTTTGTGGTTTGGAGAGGTCATGAGTGTGAAATAGAACTCAAAACTTCATCAACCTCCATTAATGGATGATGTGTACTGCTCTCTCACCCTCTTCCTCTTGCCTCCTTTGCACCCCCTGGACATCTAGATTTAATATTTGTTATTTCAATTTTAAATTTATATTTATTAAAATAAAAAAAATCAAAAAATTATAGAAAAATTCAATAAATCTGCTCACCAATTTAGAAAATTCAAATTTAATATCGATTGTCTAAATTTAATATTACAATTTTTAAATAAGTTGACTGATCTATCCAAAACATGTCTATATTATTCAAAGTATATTTAGATAGTCAATTTAAATTTTTAATATTAAATTTATACCATCCATATTAAATTTAAATGTCAGATTGATGAGTATATTTATTAAAATTTTTATTATTTTTATATATTTTATTTTAATAAAAAAATAAAAATAAAAATATTAAATGTCAACAGTCCAAATTTATACTGCCCCCGTGGGAGGTGCGGAGGAGGCTTGCCTCTGGATGCACGAAAATGACGCTGAAGATGGAGTATATATTTGACATAGGTTGTGGAGGGGATTAAAATAGTGTGGCCCCACACTTTTTTTCCCCCTTTCTTTTCTTTTTTTTTTTTTCCATTTCTTCTTCCTTTTCACCGGTTACTTCTTTTTTTTTTTTGTCTTTTTTTCGGCCTTCTGTTAATTTATAAAATATAATTATTATTTTACTCATAAATCTCAAATCATCACATCATTTTATATAATTTTCTATACTATTTTAAAACTTTCATAAAATTTAATTGGATAAACGTACTCCTATATTTTGCTCAATTATAAATTTTCATAATATTTGAGTAATTCTAATTTCTCAAGTACGTGAATGATTTGCATAATTTTTTTAAACTCTTTGGACCTTATTTTTTTTTCCTTTTTATAAAGGTAATGACTTCATACTGTATCCTTAAAATTTAATTTATTTTGGGTAAATTCTCTTTCCCAAAAAATTATTTGATAAATTTAAATTATTATAATATAATCTCATTAAATTCAAATCAATATTATTAAATATTTACTTCATTCAATTTACTTAATAAATTAATTTTTAACGTCACTTATTAAAGTTAAAAGTGGAATATTACTCTTTGAATGATATCAAAATTGATAAAAATACTAATATTATGGGCACAAATCTAAAAGAAAAATTTATTTTAAAAGATTATATTATTAGATAAGAGAGTTCCTCATATTTATGAATCCTACATCACAGTTCTTCGATGTAGGATTCATGATAATGTCCTTTTTTTCTTTTTAATTTTAAATACTTTGACTAAAAGAGTATATTAAATAAGATTTGATAAAAAAAATCACTTTATTATTTTATCCAAAAAAAAAAATTACTATAGTAGCATGAATCACAAGCAATTTGACGGAGACGACAACTATTAACTAGTTTGGAGATATTGAGTGATTTTTGACAGAAATACCCAAAAAACAGAACTTTATATAGTATAATTATTTTATAAAAAATATAGTATAATTAGGAAATATTTAATATTATTTTGTTAAGAAAATAAAACTCATGCCGGTGTTCATCAGAAACGGATAAGTTGAATTACTGAGATTAGAATGAGTGAGATGTTTTTGTGGTTTGTGGATACTGGATAAGTTGAAAGGTAAGAAGTAGATATTTAATATTATATACTTAATATATTTTTATTTACTCAAAGACAAATAAATTTTAATATATTAATAATAAAAATAAAATAATTTATAAAAAATTAACATATCTTGATTTAATTAAAAATAATTACTTTAAATATATAAGATTAAGCTTATAATTCTGACTAAAAAAATTGAATACGTGTAGCAATTCGTGAGCAACAAACTCCTAAGAGGTCTTCTTGACAAAAACTAAGCAACAAGCAAAAGTTTATATAGTCTTGAGATAAATTCAAGCTTGTATGGTCGTACACCTAAAGTAAAGTTTTTTTTTTTTTCCCCGACATAAAATAATTGTTTCAACTCATATTGACCAAAATTTATGGAGAGATTTGGTATGTAAATTTTTAAAATAAAAATATTCTTATAATCTACAAATTTTGGCAAAAATTATTATCATTGAAATATATAAATAAACAAAAGCCATATAATTTGCAAAAAAAAAAAAAAGACACAAGGGGAAATAATAAATACAAAGTTTGCTTTTAACTCGAGATCGAATTGATGATTCATTGAATTTACAAGTCGGACCACAATTACAACTTGAAGAGGGAGACTTTTAGTTTTCTGCATCTTCTTGTAATATCCTGGATTGTAAATGACTCTGAGATCAGAACAGGAAGAAGAGAAGAAAAAATTCAGAATAATTTGAATCAGAATCAGAAAAACTATCCTAAAAAATATCGGCAAAATTCTGCAACAAGAAGAGGTTCGACCCTATAAATTGAGTCACCTCAACAAAAAGGCTATAATTTGAAACTTTCCCAATATGCAACTCTGACTAAAACAATTTTTTTCTCGCTTTAAACAAAAAAGGGAAAAAAAGAAAATCGAAAGAAAACCAGTGGCATAATCACAGAATATTCACAGAGGGCCCCAAATCAGTAGGAGTAGGCCAATCGTTGAGCCACACGATCCTTCAAAATCCCATTATACAGAGCCACTCTGTTCGCAGGCATTCCTCTGCTCTCATCAATTCCGCCATTACTGCAACTCCTTCGAACCTTCGTTTCTGAGTTTGAGTGTCTGTAATTTCTTCTCACTTCTTCTCCATCTCCATTTCTTCTTATTCTTGACACCACCACGTCCTCTGCGAAGTGAACCCTCTTCTTTTTCATCATCTTCTTCTTCTCATCTGCTCAAGAAACAAACTCGCAATAAGTCAAAGAAACAGGGGATGGTGAATCAATGTGTTTCCATTGAAAAACAAAAACAAAAACAAAAAACTGGGGAATAACAGAGTACCTGAGGCTGACGATATGCAAGATCGTAGAATTGGAGGGGATGATAGGTGGTGGTGACGTGGTAATTGGAGAGATTTCTGAAGACGCAGAGTGAGGAGGAGGACGGTGCCGGAGACCGCGGCAGCTGCGGCGGCGGCTGCGAAGACCACACCTTGTGAGCTCATCGTCGTTGAAGACTTGGTCAGCCACAGGAGGATGAAGACGAAGGAAAGGAAAGAAAGAAAGCAACTGAATGGGGCGATTGATTAGGAATTATATTATCGTAGCGGTGAGGCACGATTTATGAATGAGAAGGATACATGAACATTATATTATATTTGAATCAAAATGAAAAATTGTTAAACTGATAAGATATAAAGAGTAAGCAATAGTTGTATTAATTATTATCACCTAATTTATCTTTTTTTCTTGGCCAAACATCTAATTTATCTTACATTCTCATAAAATTACAAAAAATGAAAAACCAAGAATTTATCAAAATTTACCGAGTAGGCATCCTTAAAAATTTTAAATTTATATATATGTTCTGAATGGCTCATTTTTTTTGTTTTATATTAAATAAAAATTCCAGATTAAGAAAATTTAATAAAATTTATAAATTAAATCAAAGGGATTTAAATGAAAATTTTATTTTCTATAATTAGAGATGAATAGAGAATTTGAATTTAAATTATGAAATTATTTATTGCAATATTTTTATTTATATATAATATTAGTATTCTGGTAACGGGATGTTCTCTTCAGTCATCAGGGGATAAAATAAAAAGATAATGGGTTGCGATGGGCCTGTTGAATCGTATTTCTCCATCTCTTTTTTTTATTATTATTATTTCTTTGCGGGGATATTTAGCTTGATGTGTTAATCTATTATAAAAAAATATTTGTTAATTTTTTATATTAAATATACATAAAGGTACTCTATTTCAGTAAAATAATTTAAGATCTTTGGTTAGTCATGTTCCAAGTTTTATCTCTAATTTTTGGGTGTGGGATTTTTTTTGAGCCTTTTTTTAAATATTCTTTCTATTACTTTTTTCTTTTCATTATTTCTTCTCGTCCAATTTTTTTTTTTAAATTTCAAAGACGTCAAGTCTATCTTCTTCCTGCCCCCTTTTTTTTTTCAATTACTTATTTTTTTATCTCTATTTTTGTTTTGTTACTTTTCTTTTTTTGATTCCCGACTGAATGATTATGATACTACATGAAATTCTTTCATATGAAGTATATATTAGGGTAGTTTACTTCACCCAAATAAATAAAACCTTTTAATTAAACATATTTCAAGTTTTATATATTTTTAATTTATCTTTTAATTTTTAGATTTTGGATTTTTTTACTCCTTTATCTCTAATAAATTTAACTACCTAAAACTTAAATATGATTCATATATTTTTCTTAAATCAAAACATGCGAAGAATTTTTAATTTAAAAAAATTAACAATATTAATAATAAAAGTTGGTTTTTTTAGTAACTTAGTTATATAATGAATAGTAAATTAGTAATGTAGTTTTCATTAATGCTGTTTTGTTAAGTAATAATAAATTAAATGACACCCCGGCTTTTTGACTCCTTGTCATTAAAAAAGGATATGAATGTGGCATTATACAATCTAAAACGCATTAAGAATATTAAAGCACCTTAATATTTTGTAATGTTTCTAGAACTGTGGCAAAAAAAATAAATTCTTGAATCGTAAAGTTAAAATCTTTGAGTTGGAATTAATATTAATATTATTTATATATATATATATATATATGTATGTATGTATATTCTGTGGCTTCTAGTCTAGTATTTTATAATCTCTCACCCAATAACTGGTTAATTAAATATTAAATGAGTTTTCCTGAACCAATAATAGCTAATCTTATGTAGCTCGTGCACTGCACGATTCAGTATCACGAAAACGTGCTTTACTCTAATAATAATAATTGAGTATTGGACTAAGAGAAAAGTCGTGGATAGGAGCCACGTCCTTCGGAAGCTTTGGAATGTTATTTAAAAAACCTTATTTTTGACGTCTATTTTTTCTATTTATATTTTGTTCATACTTGACAGCTAAATTGAATTAAATTTAAGTTTTTGTTTGGTCAAAAGTCAAAACATGAATATTATATTAGAATAATGAAGTTTAAAAATTAAGAGAATGGCACGTAAGGCCACCAAATCAAAGAAACTTACACATAAAGTCCTATATATTTTGAATTTATTTTGCAGGCCTAAAAGCCTTATATGCTAAATATGTTTTCTTGCCCATAAAGTCCTATTCAAGTGTATGAATAACAAAATTTTTGTATATCAACAACATATTGTCTTCTCATGATACATAGTTTATATGGTTTAATTGAATAATAATGTATAAGTTTTTTAGGTATATAAATAACAAAATGTTCATATAAAATATGATAAGATCTACACATTAATAACAAAATATCCATTCATTATATATAGTTTGTATGGTTTAGTAGAACAATAATGTACAAGTTTATTAGGTATATGAATAACAGACTATTTGCATATAATATAATAAGTAGGGGTGCACATAGGCAAGGCTAGGCTGGGCAAGACCCTGCCTGATACCCAGCTCGAAAAATAAATGGACTGCAAAATACAACCTGATGGCTAGCACTGCCCACAAAATGTCCCATTAGTTTGGGTTGGGCAGGGTTGGTTGGGCAACTGTAGTCACCCAAGCCATCAAATAGTTGCCTTGCCCAATAAAATCACAACTCTTCTCATCATATCAAATAAAACTATCACAAATAACTAATAATAACCCTATACATCAACTTAAAATAACATTCATAAAGTCATAAACCATAAATCCACAATAACAGCCATAATATTCAATTATTTATAATTCAACATTTGACTTGAAATCTAAAATTACCACAAGTCTTGGCACAATATCAAATTATCCATAATTCAATCCAAAATAATAGCTATAATCCAAAATAACAAAAGTTTGGAGCATCATATGAGAAATAACAATTTCAAAGAGTAGGCTCCAATTCATAAAAAGCATCTTTCCAATTCCCAACCTACATGAATGGAAGAGGAATAATATGTTATAACTAAACAGAAAAATTGCAAGAACATGCATGAAAATTTAAAGAAAAATGGGAACCAAAATATGAGAGAATTAACAATAATGATATATAAGTTTGCTGAAAAATTAGCAAGAAATCATAGAAAAGTTAGCAAAAAATTAACAGAAAAATTAGCAAAAAACCAACTTCTAAAGAAACATTTCAATCAATACTAGCAACTGCATTCTCCCCTCCAAGTGTTGCATAAAGACAAAAAAAAACAATTACATTAATGTAAAAACTAAAGTAAGGGGTGTACATGTGCATGTGCGAATTATTAAACTTTGGAAAAAAATATTGCTTGTAAGCTGAATGATATTTTCTGTCTCATTAAAGTTATCAAACTCTTGAAGCTTATCAATCAACTCAGAGAGAAATTGCCCACTTTGCAGCCAATTTTGCCCACAAATTAGTGCTTCCGTCATTTTAGGAGATAGAGAGCTCTTATATTGATCAACTACATATTCACTGGTACTAAATGCAAACTCAGAAGCCACTGTATTTTTTAGAGTTTTATATTTTTCAGAGTTTGCTTTCCATTATGATAGTATATCAAACTTAGAATCAAATGATAAAATTTCAGCTCTAAAGTCAATTGCAAGATATCTATCTAACTCACTTTGTGGATCCATTGAAGTTCTTTGTTTCAAAGACTCTAACCACATTGCACCTGGATTCTCAATATCATCATCATCATTATCATCATCATCAAGAGAGGGCAATGAACTTGTAGATGCATTACTAGCATGGGTAGGCCCTAATTCAATAGAAACCCTAATAGAATACTCATCAAACAATCGATACAAACAAGTTTTAACCTTATCCATAGTCAATGCACATTCTTCAGGGTTACTGAAAAGGAGTTCAAACATGTAATTTACATAAATTAATTTATATCGAGGATTTAAAATTACAGCCACAATCAACAATGGATTCATATAATCTTCCTGACCCCAATACTTATCAAACTTCATTTGCATCTTAAAGCTCATATTTGCTAAAAAAGTATTACTATTGTTTCCAATATGCTTCTGCAACATCTGCTGAACACGAGCAATTTGATAGAAACAATCATTTGATGTTATAACAAGGGAGCTTGAAAATTTCAAAGTTATGTCATAAAAGACCTTCAAGAATTTGATTAAGACTTTAGCATTTTTTCAATCATGAAGAATAGGGCCGGAGAAAACACCTCCCTCTTGCGTAAAGCTAAAGAATGCAATATAGTCATCATCTTCATCATGCATCCACTCAAACACCTTTTGAAACTTCATTGCAACTTCCAATATCAAATATGTTGAATTCCATCGAGTGCGTTAATCAAGGCTGACAAGGCTCTTGGGTTCTATTTTTTCAGATTCAACCCAATTTTTAAACTTTAGAAATTGTGTAGGAGAAGACCGAACATATCTCATAGCACTTTGAATGGCTTCAAAACTATCTTTCATGTGTTCGATGCCTTCATTAACCATCAAATTAAGAACATGTGCATAACATTTTAATTGTAAATAGTCTCCTCCATAATTTAAGCCCTTCCAACTTCTCAACCTTCTTTTAAGATATCCCAAAGCCATGTCATTAGATGAAGCATTATCCATAGTTATGCTAAATACCTTTCAATACCCCAATCCAACAAGCATTGCTCAATGGTCTTCCTTTTAGTCTCACCTTAATGATTTTCAATCATAACAAAACTTAAGATCCTCTTGTGAAACTTCCATTCATTGTCATTAAAATGTGCCGTCAAACACAAGTAATTGAAATTTTGGTTTGACATCCAACAATCTGTCATAAGATAAACACGCTTAGAACATTGCTTCAAGATCTTCTTTAGTACTTTTACTTTACCAAGATATAGCTGCCATACATTCCTTGCAATTGTTATTCTTAAAGGGATTGGAAAGCAAGGTTCAAACTCATTCAACAATTTCTTAAGTGCAGGCTTCTTAACAATTCTGAATGACTACTCGTCACAAATAATAAATTTAGCAAGAGCTCTTCTACAGCTCTTCTCATCATATAAGTGAGTGATTAAAGATTTTCCTTACCCACTTGTCCCACCAGATAATAGATTTATCATTGGTTATTTCTTATCTTTAGTGGCCTTATAAGGATTCTTTGGACACTTTGGGATGTGCCCTAACAAAGAATGTGTTCCATGGCATGATGGATCAGAAGCATAAGTTGTGTGA